TCCAAACCTAAAGTTGAATGCATTTTTGTCAGAAATAATATTAACTGTTACAGTTTTCAATTATGAGCTAATTAATTCATCATGAGCTTTTTAGCCAAATATAAAATGGTCAAACCTTTGCTTAGACAGCTTAAATTTACCTGAGGTGACAGGGATTTTTAATACATCATACCATAAAGTTTACTCCCATGTTTTTCTTACTGAAACAAAAATTGGTGTCCTTTTCTACAAGAGTTAAAGAGCATATAAGTAAAATCGCACAAAATGTACCATTTTCAAAATGACAGAAACTCAAAAACTAGCAGCTTAAAGGTATAAATATATTTATTTTTTTATGATTGAATTTCAGAACTGAACTAAGGCAATATGGCTTGAAAATAAATCTAATTATATTATATTATATTATATATATATATATATATATATCAAAGCTGCATGAAACTAGGCTAAATGCAAGCTGTAAAACATTTTGGCAGGCCCTACTGTTATAAACAATAAAAAGATCTTTGTTGACAGCACCATTGCACAATCTGCCAGTTTATCAGCTTAGAGTATACATCTAAGGACAAACAGGGACAGGATGACAACACTCTGAACTACAGAAACCCAACAAGTCCATCCTGAAATTAAAAAAATCTGGATTGTTTTTTTTGTTTTTTTACATTAAATCTTCATAACAGACAGGATAATTTAATGTATTCAATCAAATCAAGTTCTCTTTAAACCCCAGTGCTTTCCATATTATAATTTCCCCACTAACATTTGGCCTTATGGCTCTATTCAAAATAATCAAAGTAAATAATAGTTCATTACAATCACCGAAAAAAAAACATGATAGTTCACAAAGAATTACTAAAAAAAATGATGGCAATATTTACAACAAAAGGAAATAAGGAAGAAAATATGACAGTTTTGGGATGAATTTTGTGAATTTTTTACTCTTACTGGATAAATCATCTTAAGAACCGTATTAAAAATCTAAAATGCACTTCATTTTCAATTTACATACATAACTGTATAAATGGCCAAATGTTTTGACACTTCTTTAAAACTTTACTATTATTAAAGCGCCTAGTATAGCATCGTACAATGGATTTCTCACATACAGAGAGCAAACAGTGTAGTAAGGAAGGGCTAGAAATAAATCATCATTATTTTTATGGTTTTAACACTGGGTAATAAGCCCATAGCTCTTACAAAAACACATTCATCTGAATTAGTTGAACATTTTTGTATCTGAATACAGGAAAACCAACAGAAGTTATCAGGAAGCTTACATTAGCCGTGCTAGCAGTCACCTGTTGAGCCTCTCCCAAAGTCAATAGGCAGCATCAACTGCTGTCTCTGAAAGCTGTTTTCTACTTCAAAGTTATAAGAAGTCGCGCAACATCTCATCATTTTCACACAGACGAAATAGCCTTCGTCATTTCTTCACAATAAGCCGATAAAACCCAACGACTGACCCAACTAACGTAGTTAATCAAATAAAGGCGCAGCTAAGGCGCTAGCATTGCTTTGCTAACAGCTAGCCAGAGACTTAGCAACGGTCTAATTTAGTTCTTAACACATTTAGTTTCCAAACAAATAATGAAAGTGTATATTCTAGTTGAGATACAAACATTTGCAGGTGGGGTAAAGTAGTATAACATAAAAAGTGTTGTGTTGGATATGTTTAGCTGGTAGCTTGTTAGCATCAGAGCAGTAGGATGTGAGGGGAAACAACGGGACTTCATCCACCTGATCCCGCTACGCCAGCTGCTGCTTACCGCTCCAGCTACAACCGCCTTGGTCCGAAACAGCAACATCCGAAAGAAAGTTTAAACTGCCACAAATCTCAGTGAATCACATCGTCAAAACAGATCAGACAGCAAACAACGTCCCAGATTCTTGATTTTTCTTTTTTTCCCCAGTTTTACTGCTTCCACTGGGAACAATCTCTGGCACACTAACGACGCATTCCACGGACTGAATCCCCACAGGGAACGGTTCGAATTAAAGGGACACTCACTTGTTTTCTCAGCCTGTGTGTTCCAACATCATTTTTACAAACACTGATAGAAAAGTGTTTCAACAGGAGAAATGCGTTGCTCTGTTTTTTTATTTTTAAATATATAAAATCAAAAGAAATGTTTTTCTACGGAAGAGGATTAGGGCCACTGAAAAATTTAAAAAGTTAACTGATTTCAATGAGAAAAAAGTTAGAATTCTGACTTTATTCTCGGAATACTGACTTTTTCTCAGAAATCTGACTTTGATCCCAAAATTCTTACTTTTTTCTCATAATGCTGACTTTTTTCCTCAGAATTCTAACTTTAATCTCAGAATTCTGACTTTTTTCTTAGAATTCTGACTTTTTCTCAGAATTCTGACTTTTTTCTCAGAATTCTGACTTTAATCTCAGACTTCTGACTTTTTTCTCAAAATTCCGACTTTAATCTCAGAATTCTGACTTTAATCTCAGAATTCTAAATTAATTCTGATAGCTAACAAACATGTTAGCATCAAGCTGTAGCCAAGTCTGTTTTAGAGACTAACCTAGGTCTCTTGTTTTAATCACTTTCTGCTCTTCCATTAATTAAATATCATCACCGGGGACCCCTTGGGCACGTAAAAAGTCGCCTAATTCCGTCATTTTCCACCAATGTGTCACTGGCTCTCTCAAACAACTCACATCTTTGTCAGTGAAGCTGCATGCTCCCACATCTCTTCCTTTATGGTGCTAATCTACAATAAGATTCAAAATTCTGAGATCAAAATCAGAATTCTGAGATCAAAGACAGAATCCTGACTTTTTTCCCATATTAAACTGAAATAATATTTAAGAATCAGTTAACTTTTTTTTTTTTTCAGTGGCCCTAATCCTCTTCCATATTTATCGCATGTGTGGTTTCTTTGAGGCTTGTGAAATATGCCAGAACCCATTTGTTTAATAAACACCCTGCTAAAAAACAATCGTTCATTACATCCCCTTCCACCAGGCTGCAAGATGTATGCATATCATGGAAATATTGCAACCAACCAGATGATATAGGGTAAACATTTAATTACAGCCAAAACAGAAAGCAGGATAAATCTACTTCTCTGCATGCACCTGCCCACTTAAGATAAAGAAAAAAAGTCTTGTTTCCTGGTTCTTTTAAGTGATGTGAAATTATCCAACAGTAAACATCGTGGTTTATAAGAAAACAGTACAACTTCCAGTAAATTCTATTGACAAATAGCAGAAGTCAGGGGGAGACTTTTTGGAGTAAAACATATTACTATATTACTACTAGGGGATAGATAAAAAGCTTAAGGCCCTGTTACTGGCATACCTAGGAAAATGATCTGTCAAAAGTGTAAATATAATTTAGCTATTTATTGCCATGGCATATTATAAAAAAAAATAAAGAATAAAATCAGGTGTTAAAAAAAATCTCTCATTAATATTTTACATCCAAAGCCTTCTTCCTGCTTTTTTTTTACTTTATAAGTTTTTTTTTTCAGTTTGTAGAATCTCCTAATGATAAATATTGTACTTTTTGGAGAATAAATGGTAAATGTCCTGTACTTATATAACGCTTTTTCAAGTCAGAGGACTTGACCAAAAAGGCTTCACATTCAGTCATTCACCCATTCCCACACACATTGTAGCCACAGCTGCCCTGGGGCTCACTGACAGCAGCGAGGCTGCCATAAACTGAGGCCACCGGGCTGTCTGACAACGATCAGTAGGCAATGCAGGTGAAGTGTCTTACCCAAGGACACAACGGCACTGAAAGCCGGAGCTGGGGCATCAACCGACAACCCTCTGGTTGCAAATTAGTTAGAGGAAATAGAGGAATGAGTTAATCCTATTTTAAGTTGATTAAAATTCTGAAAGCTTAAAAAATTTGGGCCACACCAAGATACTCAGAAGGTTTATATTACGAAATAGTTCGAAGTAAAAAAAGGAATCTTATTCAATGGATGTTTTTCAACAGAATAAGTGATTTGTATGACAAATGATCCACCCATGCACCCTAAAACTGAATTAAAAGGCAAAACACTCAGCAGGTCGACAATTTGGTACCAAATTGTGCAGTTAGGACAAGAGCAGATGATCTATGAGTTTTATGTACTGACACGCTGATAATACACAGGTGGGTGGTGCTGGGTTAATTTAAAATGGTGTCCCTAAAATTAGACCAATCATTTTGCATTTTATATCAAACATTTTGGTCAGAATCTTACGAATACATTTCTCCCTATCTAAGTTGAAGACAACAGTTTATGTTAATGTAGGAATACTTGAGTAACATTTAAACACTCTTTTAAACAACAAAAGAAGCATCATAGAATGTTTTTTTTGTTTTCTGAAAGTTTTGATCTCAGCGTCTCGGTTTTTCTTTTAGATCATTTGTTATCTTGTATGTAAATGACTGAATTCATTGTTATCAAACCCTTTTCTAGTTAAACTATCAAGTGAAAGCACTTCACACTTGAGCGACGTTCACCGAGCCACATTCAAAACCAAATTTGTCTCAGATTAGAGATTTGCCTGTATAAATAAAGGTGAGATAAAACACAAATATTTAACTCTGATTATGACAGAGAATTGTTAAAGACCTCACACACCTGGTCTAATGTTTAAAGCATGTTGTTTTTGGTGGGCCTTGTTTCTTTTCAGCTGAGCAGTTGACACTATCTTGCTGAAAAGTTTTAGATGCTAAACATCTTCATAGAAACTTCATGTGTTCATGTCTTTTATGAAAACATCAGGCTGAACATGACAACTGAATTTTTTGCTGAGTGGGCTGGTGTTTGATGATATTTCAAACAACTTGTGGTAATGGGTGCACCCACCTGCTTGGTAGTTTTTTTTTCTGTGTGCCCCGAGTGAACTAGTCTATAGGAGAGTAAGCATTCATGCACAGGGGTTATAAATAGATGCAGGTTTGTGTGTGAACATAGCACCTGCCAACATGCGTCATGCGGTGAGCAAACGTGGGTGAATGTGCATCTGTGACTGTGTTACTCACTCATGCACTGCAGACCATGCTTTTTCTGCAGGCTCTTGCTGCACAGCGAGCAGGTGGCGGAACTGGAGAAGGAGCCTGGTATTAAATAATGCCCGTTGCTGTTGCTGTGGCTGCCGGTCCTGCACACTTTCTCTTTGGCCTCCCTGTCTCTCTCCTTCACCCTCTCTCTCTGCTGCTCTTTTTCTCGATGCTTACCCTGGAGACAAGAAAAGAGAAGCACACATACAAGGTGGTTTTTAAATGCTAATTTTGTTTGTTCTTCGTTGCTGCGCATGCTGCACATCAGCATGTCTCATCACATATGTGTCAGAGGCAGGAGGCATAATAGGGTTTAGGTAAGAAGATTAAGATATTGTGAAAGCCACATGCATGCAAATGTTTACATGGCAGTAATACATAAAGTACCTTCCTGGACTACAATATTGCAATGGGAAAAATGTTTTTGTTGTGCAGCTCAGGCACCGATCATCTGTGGCATTGTTTACCTTATCTTTATTGAAGGAACCCGTCACCCTGCTCCTCAGGGAGCTTAGAGTCCTTTTCACCTTTGTTCCTTTCTCAACCTTTTCTGCTCGGTCCTCCTCTTCCTCATTCCTAAAGATAAAAGGAAGCAATGTATGAACAATTTGAAATAAGCCATGTAAGTAACTTAGACTCATACTGGATGAGTAATAGCTTTAAAAAAAGTAGTTAATTTAATAATATTAAATTAAATTAATATTTTTAGGTGTGTTTTTCATGTATATAATTTATTGATCTGAAATATGTTTCCATTTTTTATTGCTTCAGATAAAAAATAAATGTCTGAAATATTTTTATCTACAAAATTCTCATTCTGTAGAAGATTTTGTTCTACTTTTTACCAAATGCTTGTGGCTCTGTAAGGTTTAATTCAGTTTATGAGGATACGCTTTGGTCCCTTGATTTTTTTTTTTTTTTGCTTAAGTCTCATACAATCCAAATAATTCATTGAACATAAATCACTAGTCTCATAAGAAAGCTAAAAAAGTAGGATTTACCGACCATGTTTACTTCTTGAACTAAGGCAAACAGTTTGGTTGTACTGGTTGCCTTAATCACATATGGATAGCAAAGCCATTTCTCTGCTAACTCTTATGTGTGCAAGTAATTGTGTGAGCTTTTCTGCTAACATCTACAGTTCCTATATGATTCATACCCCTGCCAGAGTTGAGTTTAAAATAATAATTTAACTTTACCGATACATATCCTCTGACTGTAAGAAAGATAATTGTTTTGGAGCAACCCAGCTGAATGTCTCGACATGAATTTAATAGAGAATCTGTGAAATATTAGACTGATGGAAAGGAGGCTGCCATTATTTACCAAATAATCATCAAAATACATGCAAAAAGCTGGTTAAAAAATAAGGGTTTCATTTTGGAGGAAGGTGCTTCCATTCATTTTTCAAAAGATTGATCTTTTTTAAAGTTTTTTTTTTTGTTAAATTGGAAAAAAAAAAAAACATTGTATACAACTTCTATATTCTTCTTGTTGTTTTTGCTTTTAGAATTCACTATTCAGAACAGCTATTCTCATGAATAAGAACTATTTCAAACCTAAATCTGTTGGGGTTGCAAATATTTTGAGCTTAACTGAAAATATAGTGCGTGAGTTCCTGCCTCTCTGGTTCCGTTTGTATGCAACTGAGCGCTCAGAGGTGGCCTCCTGAAGATCCTCCAGATCCCAACAGTTGGATCATTTAATATTAATAAATTGATTTAGAGTAACAGACATTGTTTGGAAAAGAAAGTTATAAACCTAATTGCCAAACGGTTGTACTTACTCCTTGGAGAGGAACTCGTACCAGGTGACACTTCCTGAATCTTTGGCATCTGGATTGCCGTTGTTTCTGTGCTTTGCTCTGTGAAGGACAGTTTGAAAACTTCATGCAGGGAGAGCATCCATTTAAGCAGAAGGCAGGTCCAAATTAAAACCATAAATGACCGTAAGAGATGAGCATGTCAAAGTCAGCGTTTATAAGAACAAGAAAAACAAGCATAGTGTGACAACATAAGCAGATTTATGTTGCTGTGAACTTTTGGCAGCTGATCGTCTCATTTTCTTGTGCTCTGCAGATCCTTTCCAGCCATGGTGACGTACAGTTTGTGACAGTGACCAGAACAGACATGCAACCCCATGTGCAAAAATCATGCATACACTAGTGTAGTTTGTAAACACTCGCTGGCTCTGCTACTGGAGATGATAGAGCAGCAGCCAAAGCTTGCAGACCTCCCTCTCCTGTTTACTTACCCATAGTACAGCTTTAGCTCCTGCAGAACTTTCTGTACCATCAACCTAAGGCAAACAAGACACTGACACTGAGCGGGGGGAGAGAGGACAACCTGACTGATGGGAACTGAGTGCCACACTGTGATATGAAGTACGATTCTCCTTCATCTGCTGCATCCGTGCAGCCATTAGAGCGCAACCGTTTATTACACCCAGACACTCTCACTTAGCAAGGGGCCATCTTGGCAGCTAAAGAACAGAGAGCTGTGGGAGGGGAAACTGCAGAAGTCTGATATGGAGCAGAAATGTCAGGGGAGAACGGGGAAAGCCCCTCTGTTATGTGGGAGTTAGGTAACTGTAAAAGACTATTTACAATACTGAAGAGTTTCTGCATGAGGCACTCAAGGGCTGCACAGACACATTGTCTTTCCACCATCGTGCTGCTATAAGGACAGATGCATATTCTGGAGAGGAGATATTTTGTTTCAGTTAGATATGATTGATTATGATGAATGCTTACATGTGGCTTTGTCCCTCTGTAGAGTGCAGATTTTCCTCTGGGTCAAACTCCTCTGCCACTGTGGGTGGGGAGGAATCAAATATTACTATGAAAAAAAGGTTAAAAATAAGAAATGAAACGGCGCCATGTAAAGCAAACATTCGTTTGCCTCCCACACCTCCTGCTGCCCTGGCGGCCTGTTTGGATGTCTGGATGACACGAGAGATGTGTGCAGCTCGGGAATAGTCATCAGTGGCGAGGATCTCCGATCGAGAGTACAGCTGCCTGCTAGGTCTACCCATGGCCTGAAAGAGGAATGGATTGGATTGAACTCATATCTAAACATTTAAAGCTAATTACAGAAAAAATATTTTTTAAAATTTACATTTCAATGCAAAGCATCAGATGTTGCAACCAGCCTTGAGCCGGGAAACAGTTGCAACATTGCTAGGGAATGGTTGCAACATATCACAAATACAGTGTATATCGCCATTAATAAAATGATTACTATACGCATTTTTATCTATTAAAAACATGTTATATTACAGTATTACTTATCAGCTTTTATTTGCTGACAATTATATACTTGCACATATAGGTAAGCCTTATATGCAGATTTTAAAGATTCAAACTGATCTAAAATATGATAGGCTTTCATTGACACACGAAGAATGGATTATTAACTTTTATTTAGTCAGTTGTTGTTCCTGCATTTATTATGCAAAATGTACTTTAAGGAAAACTGGGCTTCCAAAACTGTTGTGGAAAACCACAATTGTGGAAAATGCAAGAGTTTTTTATACCTAACCATTAAAATGACATTAATGCCCTATTATCTACTGAGGTCTATGACAATTAATGACAACTATCCATTTTATAACTAATAATTGCATTTAACAATATGAATGGATTATTTATTTTTCTCTATATTATAAAGTGTGTATGTGCTTAATAACAACAAATGACAGAGGTATGACAAAAACAAGGTTCAAGTAAAAAAATAAAAGCAAAAAAAAACAGTACCACTCCTATAATCTGCCTGTTATTTGCTGGAATGACAGACTTCCAACTACTTGAATGTGCAGTATTAACATCATCACGCTAGCTTGTTTCCGGAGGGGGAAATAAATGACATGCTGCAACCATGACATGATAAAAATGCGCCTGGTCTACCCCTACGACTAATGTACAACTGATCTGTTTTTCATCCACTTCCCAGTTTACAACAAGTACTGCATTGAGATTAATTATGCTTACAGTGGCCTTTATTAGCTGCTAATCTGCACAGCATTTAGTCATTTTTGGTCTTTGTAGTAAGGAACCTCTGTGTTTGGCACAATACTCCAAATTTATCAATTCCCCTCTAACTGTGGACTTATTTGGTATTAAATTCTGTGTTGCAGTCATCCTGTGGCCATTTTTCTCTTAAAAGTGCATATAATGTTTTATTGCAAGGGAGGGTTTTTACAGAGAAGGATTAAATGAAGGAGCAAGCCGCTAAAACAAGCAAGGTTTCATCTACAATGATTCCTAGCTTTTAAAAATGCCGCATAAGCTACAAAAGGTGATTTATGGCAGTGTGTCACATTATGAGGCAGACGTTTAGGGCTCAGAAAGCAGTGGGCGTCAGGAATTTTTCAAGTTGCAATTGTGATGTATTAAGATGTGTAAAAAGGCAGATAATCGTACTCAGGGCTTCTGCAGAAAATCCTATCATGGCAAACACACATCAAGGGGCCATATAGGACTCAAGTTTATCAAGTTAAAAAATGTACACAAAAGTTAAAAAGAAGAATAATTAAAGTCCTTGTTTTTATTACCTTTGCATGCAACAATACTAAAACTACTGCATCAAGCGTGGTTCCATGACCAGATTAATAAACACCTATGCGATGAGTCCAGCAGTACAAGTAATGTTGCACAGATGACTGTTTGTGGTGTTACTATACAGTAAAAGCTATTTGGATGATGGGACAGACTATTTTAGGACCATTTTTAGAAATGTCCCTATTTCAACACAATTGAAATAAATAATTAGATGATTGCCGGGACTCTTGAGAACCTGCATTCTCAGGATGAAACTAAACCATTTGACTGTAAAGGACGCATCTTAAAGTTGCAGGACACCGACCCTTGAGGTCTGGAGCTGTCCATCCCTGGACTACAGCATGAGGCAGTAGGTCAGGTAAAAATCCTGCTAACTTTCTGCAGTCAATAGCAGCAGAACTTCAAACTTCTCGTGATCGTAGTCCACTCTCGTGGTCCACTCAAAAGAAGTAGAGATAGCTTCAGGAAATAGTTTTCCTTAGCTTAGTAGCTGCAGACTGTTCTACACAGTGGCAATTTATAACCTCTGTAGAAAATTATATGCATTTAAACCTCAACTGACTGAATAAAGGAAAATCAAAACTTGAAGTAAATCTTTTCTTGCACAATTTGTTGTAGTTTTTTAGGATGAGGACATACGAATGAAATTCCTGCCTAAAACTGGAATTAAGAAAGGATAATAAAAGCCGTTTTAGTTGGTTAAAGAGCATCTGTTTACCCTCAGACTGAAACCATCTGGCTCATCTCCAGGCCCTGCTGAGAAGCTGTCAGACTGCTGCTGGCAGGACTGGAAAAGACTCCTCTGTTGCTCTTCATCATCGTCGCGCTCTTCATCGCTGTCTATAGCTGCGGTGTCTAGACTCAGTCTGACAAAGTAAACACAAGACATCACACAAAACTGTTGAAGATTCTAATTATTCCGTCTATTTTAATCACCTAATATTATTTCAAGCTACTTGAATAACACCAGATAAAATGATGATGATATGGAGAAATATTTTAGGAGTCTAAGATATACTCAGAACATGGATTTTTGAATAATGAACTTAAATAATTTCAGTTTATGATGCACTATAAAGATAAACTTTTAACACTTTATTCTCATCCTTTTTTGCCAATTGTTGTTCATCTTACCTCCTAGCAGAACTGAGGGGTGACAGAGGGACCCCCCAGCTGTGCCTCCGAGACGTTGACATGGATCTGACCAAAATGGGAAAGCTGTCCATGTCTGGCTCTCCATCCAGCTCCATTTTGCCTGTGTCCTTTATCGTGTCCAGCTCTGTGACTGCATCCACTGTGTCCATGGATCCTAGAAGTCCATTTAGTTTAAGTGTCCAATTCAGGCCAAGTGCAGAATCCGGGAAGTCGTTGCTGTCGACAGTAAAACTCTGCTTTGGAGAGAGCCGGGAAACACCGCTTTGAAAGGAAGGTTCATCTGCAAGTTGTTGATAAGAAGGAAATGATGTTGCATTGACCTGTAGGAAGTTTGTGGCCAGGGGTGTGTTTGCTAGTTGCTCATTGGTCTGGGAATTTATGTTTACGGAGAATTGTGAGTCAACAGTTTGCTGCGCGTTGTTCTCAGGTAATATAGAGGCATCTGATGATGCAACAGCCGCTGATTCTCCCTGCAGGTCTTTGAAATATTCCGAGTCTCTAAGGGAGGAACTGAGGCCCTGTAGGTCCTCTAGGCTGCTGCCAGCTTCCACACAGGGACAGTCGTAGTCACTGACTACTGAAGATGCATCCTGCACCATCATGCAAAGAGAAAATAGACCAAAAACATGTAAAAGACGATAACAAATGAGTACATAGAAAACATTATATATAACATTATATATATATCTCTACAGTATATAAGTTACGATGATGAATCCCTCCCCTGTTGCTTATGATCTGGAGCTGCACGTTAAAAACCAGGAAGAAAACTTTTTCGCTTCTTATGACTCCATTCAGTGCCAGTTTTGTCTGTGCTTTATCAGAGTCATATCTGAAGTGCTCACCGCTGCTGCACTTAATGCGTATCCAGTGTGCCTTTAGTGCACATTTTGCTTAGTGAAGGAGACACTGGAAAAGGGCAGACTGTGGAAGCAATCTATATGGTAAACAGAACTCTGCATTATATATATCTATAGTTCTGTTTCTATACTTCTACAGTTTTTTCAAGATTTTAGAAAAACTATCAGTAGATTGGAAAATTTCATTGATAAACATAAAGTACTTTCTGGAAGTAAGTATGGATTGATAAAAAGAAGTTTGAAATTGGTTGGTTTATTGATATAAAAATAGACAATTATCACAATATATTCATCAGGAATTTAAAGCATTAGGTTGTAAAGAGGATGGATCTGGAGTGGATAAAGAGCTATTTTTAGCAGCAGGCAACAGTTTGTAAAAATGGGGGTTTATCTGTGGTCATGCTTGGACAGGCTTGGTGGTCCCCAGGGGTCTCTACTTTTTATTCTCTACATAAATTACAGACTTCTATGGTTTTAAAAGTATAAATTATTGATTTGTTTGCAGATGATACAATTATTTCCTGTACAGTTGAGAGCTTAGAGCATCTCTTTGATGATATCACAAAAGAGCTAAACATATGTCTTTAAATTAAGACTTGAACTTTGACAATTTAGGGTTCATGTTTTTGGAAATTATTTAGGAAATCTTGATATCAAAGTCAAAATAGATTAGGTAAATGTGGAAAGAGTAAATGAAATACAATTCCTAGGTGTGATTATTCACTACAAGGTCTGCTTTGGGCCTCACATCCAAGATCAAACTATCAAAAAGCTTTGCAGTTATTAGTTAATCTAAACATTTTATGATTTATTAAGTGTTACACATTCTCTAATGTTAATTGAATTTACCCTGCTTAAATTATAAAAGAGCTATTAGGGAAAGTGTATAATTACAGGGATAATCTAAACTTTAAAACTGTATGTGCTTCAATGCACATAAAAAGAATTGCATTTCAATAAATGGTGTGAAAGTATGGAACAAACTTAATGTTAAATTAAAGCAATGTCCAAGTATGAGACTCTTAAGGGAAAGGATATGATTAGATAAGTCCCATTTCTTTAAACCCCATATTTCATTTGCAACCACACTCAGCAAATGCAATCTGCTCATTTTAATGGGGAGGAACCAATGATGCTGGCAATCTTTGTAGATTACCTGCAACACTCCTTCTTTTTAAAATTAAATATTTATATCCTGTGTAGAACTTCTGGGTACATGCAAACTATATATCATTGCTTTGTACTTGTGACAGTGTAATGATCCTAAAGTTGAATTTTATTCTGTTCTATTTTGCAAGTCCTAAAAAATTAATTAGCATGTCCAATTTAGCGCAGCTTATTCTGAATCTTTAAAGTTTGGGCCCACAATATACTGTATTTGCATAGTTAAGTGTACATAATGTTGGCATGTGTTACATTTGTACTTTTAAAACGATCATGGAGTCGGTGTTTTGAACCTTAGAAAACTGTATTTTGTAGTTTATTTAGTTGGAAGAATAATAAGGTTGGAGACAATTTACCTGGTCATCGCTGGTGTTATCAGTGAATACATCCTCTGTGATGGAGGCTGGAGGTAATGAAGACGAAGAGCCGATCCCACTGGGAGTCTGGGCACTAAGCTGGGTGCTAGGATTCCCACAGGACTCGCTACATGGCTTGCATTCGGATGCTGGACAACAAAGGAATTAATTTCTGTTAAAAACAAACCAAACATACAGTAAACTCAACAGCCCTGCAGACAGATGAGATAAGAAGCTGGAGGAAAGGCAGACGGGCTGCTGAATGTATCAATCACCCAGCGCCTGTGTAATCAGTCTGAACTGTGCTGTGAATGATAGAGAGCCCCGCTGCAGACCCCTCTCCAGCCTCTTGTTGAAAGCTCCTTTACATTTCCATTACATGAACAGATTCCAAATTCACATGATGCTGCAAACTACCATCACCAATGGCAACCACTCAGAGGATAAGTGTTAGTTTACTTGTCAGTGGTGCAGAGCCTGAGCTTATGTCTTTGCCGGGCAGCTCAAGAAGAGTCCAGATCATCTATTGGCAGCAGAGGCATGCCAAAGTTAAGCCAAGCCCACTGATTGCAAAAAGATAAATTTGTGACACTGTTTACTGATAAAAGCAGACATGTTGGTGTGTAACACTTCTGCAATATATTCATCATCCAAGGAAATTAGATCCAAGTTTTTCGGAAGGTTATATAATCTAGATTTTACATAAGCCTTAGCCTAAGCCAGCAGAGCTCAAAAATAGTAGATGTACTGGACATATATAGCCATTTAGAAGGATCCAAGAGCCCCAAAGTGCATTATACTACATCCAGTCATTCAGCTATTCAAACATACATTCACACCCTGATGGTGGTAATTGTAGCCACAACTCCAATGAGGCACACTGACAAAAGGTGGTGCTTGCCATGCAACCCCTCAGTATATACGTTACACAAGAAACCCCCATGTCCTGCACCACAGTCATATGGAAAGGAATTCCTCACTCTTTTTTAAGTCTGTAATTTACAACAGTAACTTTTAATTTCTCTAGTTTAAACCTTTTTACAACAAGTGTTCAGTACTGACCTCTGATAAGGTGGCATTATCTTATGACATGGAGCCTAGGCAGAAGATCATCTAAAGAAACTAATTGCTTTCCTACATCCACCTGTGATGCAGCCAATCAGCTTTGAACCACACCTCCACGAAAGCCAATCAGCATCCAAAGTTCATCTTAAAAGGCCTCCAATCTCACTTGTCTGCCCCTGTGTGCGGGCGGCGGATGCGCTGTGTGACTTCATTCAGATGACCCCGTTTCAACCCACCTCCAGCCCCTCCTCCACCATCGTAGCTAAAGCTTCATCAGAGTTTCATTCCTCCAAGACTCTTACTGCGTTCCCTGTCTCATCTCAACCGGTCTGGCAGAAGACCGCCATGTTGAGCCTGGTTCTGCCAGAGGTTTCTTCCCAACAGGGAGTTTTTCCTCTCCACTGTCGCTTCATGCTTGCTCATCATGGACAGGTTCTGTCAACCTGTGTTATCCAACTGGACTTCCATCTTCCAGGTCCCTGAGTGAAGCTCTACTATCAGCTCACGCAGTCCACTGGATCTCCCCATAAAGCTCAGCATACCATCTCTCTAACCAGCAGTCAACAGACCAACCAACTTCCTCTCCACTCCACCACCAGTTTCAGGTCTGGGGGGGAAACTGCCCTATTCATTGCTCTGTTCATGCATATATATCAAAATTAAGTGCTGTGTTTGCTGCCGAGGTCTGAGCGCCAAAGAAAAAGTAATTGTACCAATACATTTCTCCTAATTGTCTTTTCTCTTCGTGTGAATTTTTCAGATTGAACCACAAAAACACAGTGAACACCTATGACCTTGCTTATTTATGCAGTTCTGTAAGGTAAGATAATGCAGTGACAATGAAAACATGTACCAATATTTTTCTTTAATGTATTTGAAAAAATAAAATAAAACTTCAATACATTTTATGCTTTTTTACCCAATAGAAAATATAAAATTTATAATATAAAAGTTAAGCTTTTTTTTTTGTTTAAAGGAATGTCAAAGTAAAACATATTTTGTATATGCAATAATTCTTTTGTTAAACATTAAATACTTAAATTAGGCATAATTGCAAAACTAATGTAAACTATGTAACTCTAGGGGAGTTTTGTTTTACTTTTTGTTAAAATTATTGAGTATTTAGGCCAAAACATTCTTGTGAAAATGTTTCAAACAACCTGTATGTTTTTCTAACCTGCCCATCCCTCATAGACGTGGACTTACTCCAGTAAAATAAAACCAAACCATGATTTAAAAATAGATAAGACTTTTAAGATTTTTAAGTTAAAGTGATAGGTAAATTGAATTATGGTGAAAAACAACTTAGGACTCCCCACATGTCTTCCCTTTTAAAACAAGTACTATCTTAGTAGCTCCACTGTTTTGCCCCAAACCACACTGAGATAAAGAAGCAAGGTGGTCCTTACTTTTATTTATTCCCTCAGGAATAATCACAGAAGGTTAAGAACAAATAGTCAAAACTCTAATTGATATCTGATTAGGCAAATGATTTAATAAAACATTATTTGACTAAATCATGTTATATTTATTTCCTTTGATTTGCATAGAGAATTGGTTCAAACACATTCCAATTACTGGGATATTACTGCAACAGTTTATTATTTATGTTTTTTTTTTAAGCCATTTTAATTTCTTTTCTATACACTGCAACATCTAGAAATAAGTAAAAATGTCCTAAATTAAGTGTATTTAACCTTAATGTGAGCAGGTAAATAAGATGTGTTGTCAATGGAATTAATATTTTTACTCCTAAAATAAGATGATTAGAAAATATACACTTAAAATAAGACAAAGCAAATGTTTTTTCTTATTTTAAATGTAAATTGTCTTGTTCCATTGGCAAAGTGACTCACTTACCTCCTAAATTAAAGAAAAAATGCACTTAATTTTAGCAAAAATGACTTATTTAGATTTCCATTGTTTGCAGTGTATTTACATAATTGCGAATAAGTTGAGTTTCAAGAATTGTTAAATGAAATATGTTTAACTTGGAGATACATTATTTTTGTTAATACAGTCTTATATTTTGAGTGGAAGCTAATTTATTCTGTAAGTGTGCCCATAATTTAAGCTTGAATCAGTTTTTATTTTATTTTTTTGGTCTGGTAAGTCCATAAAGGGTGTGTAAATTATAATCTTCACTCTCCCAAAAAGCAAAAAAAGAGATACCAAATACCAAGAAATCTGAAATAAAATCACTTGTACAAATGAGTAATACTGAATCGCAGGAATAGAGAGGAGGTTTAGTTTAAACTAAATGCTGCATTCATAGAAGATATTCTCATGCCAATGTTAAAGTATAGAGTTGGGAGGTGTCAAGGTTTTGCTGCAGCAACCTATTTAAATAGGTTGCAGTGTGCTTGTTGACATTGCTGACTGCGATTCCTCAGATTTATAGATAAATTTACAGAATTATTTTGTTCCTAAAAGTAGCTTCAGGCAGATACTTAATTATTGATTATGTTCAAAACCTGGGAGGGGGCGGGGGGTTGCTGGTAAGAGTCTACAGGAAGCACAAAGTGGTTAACAGCTTCAATTCATAAAAAAATTAAAAATTAAAAATGTGGGAAGGCAGCACCTACTATATCTATAAAATTCAATAGAAGAAAAAATGGTTGCATTTCAGCTACATCTCATACAGCTCATCTTAAAATATGTAAATGTTTCCTAATCTTTTACGGGTAATTTTGAAAACTGACTGTGGCATGAAGCCCCATCCATTTTTTTTTTGTCCATATAATACCTGTGAATGATAAATGTATTTTGAATTCATGGATTTTTATTCATATTTAGTTGTGTTTATTTAGACTTGTGCACCCAGTTATCCTTCTTTATAATTCAGTTATTTGCACTGATCTACTGTTTAACACCTGTGTTGAACAGGAATAACATACTTGCATATATATCTTCAGTCTTTTCAATAAATGAAAAAAAGCATTAGAGGTTGTTTTTCTGGAAGAAAATGAACAAACAAACCACCACGTTTCACTAACGGTTAAATATGGTGGTGGAAGCATCATGAGTGAAGACGCTTTCCATCAGATGGTTTGCAGGAGAATCAAGAAACCTGTCAGAAGCTGAAAAACACTTGAGACTGGAGTGGAAGCTCGCTTTGCTGCAGGAAAGCAGGATATTCAGTTCTTAGACATAACTCTAAAGACAGGTAGGTCTGACTATATTAAAAGGTAGGTCTTCTGAAAAAGGATCAATACAAATCCGGGCAACATTTAAAAAAATGTACATTTCCTCCAGTTCACAACTATTCACCCCTTTGTTCTTGTTTGTCCCATAAAATAAGAGATACAATGATCCAATGCTAATTTGATATTGGCTAGGATATTGGTGAATTAGCTGGTAACAGCAATTTGATGTCAGATGTCAGAGATCCAATCCAATGATTGCACTTTAAATAGAGCTTTTCCTTTTTCCTTTTTCTTTTTGCTGCTTATTTGTTAATTAATAATATAAAGTAAATTTCCCTTCTCACTCTTTTATTGTTTGTTATTTAGAACACTGTCAATTGGTTACCTATTTTAACATTGTTTATTTATATACTAAAGCCTTTACTTACATGGCCAGCTATATGGTTCTTCTGATCAGCGTTTCAATTGGATCAGTATTGGATATCGGCCGATACGCTCGGCCCAGGTATCAGATTGGAAAAAACTGGATCAGTGCATCTCTACATAAAATCCCAATAAAACTGACACAAGGCTGAAAAACAAATACTTTTTTGAGGCACACTTTACCCTATCTAAAGGAGCATTACATGTCTTGATGTGTTACAGTAGAAATTTCATATGTAAATACTGCATCAGTTAACCCCCTGAGATGGAAGGTGGTTTTAAAGATATAGAAACAGCAGCTAACCTATTTGATATTAAGAAACATCACAATACAAAGAAACAAACAACAAGTAACTTCCACACCACCACATATACTCTCAATCATTAAAAGAGTCATTAAACTCTTAAACTCACAAGCATGTTCTGAGGATGAGCAGAATACCTGCTAAGGTCAGTAGAGATCTAACCTGATCTATCCAATTGCAGAGAACAGATTTACATCATGTGTTTGTACATTTCCTCCATGATTCAATATTCAAACTATGGGTAACTTTAAAATATGATTTCCAACAAAGACTCTTTGAGATCCTTCCCTAAAAGGCTGACATGTGAAGAGTACAACCAAAAGGTTCAGCACCTCCCCTAGAGTTACCATGCCCCTCTTAGCAGCTCCCCTTATTAATGTTCTTGTTCCTCCTGACATTTTGGTGGATAGTCTTGATTTGTTGCAGTTGTGCTGACTTCTTTTTATTTTCGAAGCCGGATAGAAAAGTATTCAGTAAGACTTTAGAAGCTGGGGATATGTTTAATGTTTTATAATCTATTGCTGCTTCGAGACCTTCACAGAACAGCGTTTTGTTTGCTGCAACACTACAGACCTTTCAAATATATATATTTTTTGAAGGAAAAACTAAATAAATGCACTATTAATGTACTTTCATTACATATTAGACTGCCCTGATCTATCAAATAAAATACCACTCAAAAGAAATTAGATTTTATTTGTGGGATAAAATGTGCAGAATGGGATGATTAAGTTGTTGTTTATGCATTTAGCAGATGCTTTTACCCAAAGTGACTTACAAAGTAAACATTAGCATGAAGGGTCTTGCCTAAGGACCCACACTGCTAGCTCATTTGCCCAAGCGGGACAGGTCTTGAACCAAAAACAACCATTAGATTGGAAGTCAAAGTCTTAGAACTGATGCCACTTGCAATAGTGACAGTCATTATATCACTGATGGCTGCAGCTTGAATGAGGACCAGACCAAAAAAACTGTTGTATAAAACAAAGTTTAAGGAAAAGCAGAATACAACACAAAAAAAGACGTAAAAACACAAAACCAAAACCTACTGTACTCAAGTAGATTTTCCTGATATTTTTACTTTACTTTACTACTTATTTTCATGGCGACTTTTTACTTCTACTCCTTACATTTTTACACAAATATCTGTACTTTCTACTCCTTACATTTTTAAAAATTGGCTCGTTACTTTAGTTTTGAATCATTTCAATGGAGTTACCGTTATTATTTTTCACGTCATCAATACCAAATTCAATCTAATTGGATGGGAATCTACGTTGCATTTGACGCACCACTACAAGATGAATCGACAGATTTGGCGGTATTCATTGGCGGCAAATCATTGCAGCTTGGTGGCGGTGGCGTTAGCATAGTAGCATGGACGACGAGATGATTGAAAATGAACACAACGGAGATCTAGTCCTATTGGCAGACATCCATTTAAAATGTAGGCAACGGCATGAAAAAGGTGTTTCTACTTTTACTTTTATACTTTAAGTAAATTTACAAGCCTGTACTTTGTTACTTTTACTTGAGTAAAGAAGTTTAATCAGTACTTCCACTTTTACCAGAGTATTTTTTAACACAAGTATCTGTACTTTTACTCAAGTACGGAAAGTGAGTACTTTTGCCATCTCTGACCAAAACAGAAATTGTGTGAATATAGGAAACTGTCATCAAGTGAGTCTAAAAGCCTATGTGATAATCCAAAGTCTTAATACTGGGTTCAATGCATCTCAATAACATCTCATTTATTAATTCTGATTCCTACTTCATGCTGTGTGGCCAGCTAAACTACAGGCCAGCTCTTCCGATAATATAATAAAACCTGCAGAGCCCACCACCGTCTTCTTCCTGAGAACCAGAGATGCTACTGTCTAAATACACACACTGTGGATACAGTTCTCTATATTACTAAATCAGCGGCCGAGGCTGCAGGGGTGGCAGCGTCTTCCCGGAGGGAGAATTAGTTTGTGTCTAATCCTTCTTGTGTAAATTGTAAACTCAGAGGAGACTCTGCAGCAGCCGCTCGTGCAGCAGAGTCACTCTGGCCTTTTATGGTCGGCCTTTCATTTCTTCTCAGACATGACAAAACAATGAAACATCAGAGCATGCATGTGTGTGCACACGCACTCAGGTTTATAACCCTTTTCATCAGACTCAGGTTATTGTTTTGTTTTTTTACAGATTGGCTCCATATGAAAAAGGGAGGTTACCTCTGCTCGTAAAATTATCAAAACAAAAAAAATTCATGTAAAGATGTCATCTCTGCTATGAACACTGTTGCATTTACTCACATTATGCAGCTTAGTGCTTCACACATTAATAAGTATTAAGAACTACAGTCTAACATTGTTACTGTACATACACAACAAATTAAAAGATATAAAAAAAAACTAAAAAAGTAAGTAACACTGCTTCTACTTTTTGTGGGAACAAATCATAACTAAGTATGTCATATTAAAAATGAATGGAAATAAACACTTAAAATAGCTCCCTCTGTGCAATAAATCAACACAAGTTTAACATTTGGTTGGAATTACTGATATAAATGAAGACATAAATGCCAATTGATTTTTTTTAAAATGCATATATCATATTTAACTAATGGAGAAAGCTTTAATCTAGAAATACATGCCTATAATTGTTCCTTTAGCATAAATGACTGCATCTTTGCAGCGTGGTATGAAGATGGAGGCTTTTAGCTTCTCTGAGCTGTTTGGTCTGGTGTCTCCGAACTTCCTCTTTATGTTACAGTAAAGGAGATATTGGTATTGATGGTGTAGGCAGAGGCCAACTCCAGGTAGAGGAATATATATATTATATATTCAGCATCTTCAGAAAGCTTGTCAACAGAGAGAAGTATTCAGTGCTCAAAATATCCTGGAAGGATGCTGCTCTGGCTTTGGACTTTCTAAAACTTAGGGGACAAACACCAGCATATGGTGTAGCGAATTAGATATATATGTGGTGCATTTAATGCTTTACAATACTAAGTAAGTCTTATACTGGCATTGCATTATAATCCTGCATCCTGTCCTATCTCTTATTCCACTACGTTTTTTTACATCTGAAACTTTTTGTATCCTACATTTTCCTTCTACTCACCTTTCAGAAAAAATATTTGATTAAGGCACCGTTAACAGTCTGTTTTTTCTGTAATAACAGTTTGTGGCTTCCCTGCTAGTTGTTAACTCAGCTGTGATTGTTTATGGCATGCATGACCATAACAGGACAGTTCTGTTTTTTATTGACATCATGTGATATTTTCATTGTCAGATCAACTGAGTTTTGGGCCGTCGATCTCTAAGGCATAATTATCATGATTTTCATGTAAAAATTAGAAATATATCACATAAATATCAATATGTAAGTAACTTTTCACTTTCTTTTCTGTTGAAAATCATCTGTATTTAGATGTTTTTTAACAAGTCATTTAAAATGGGATGTCAAATATATCAGGAGGAAGGAAATAAAAGCACGTTTTACCCACGAGAACCAGCGTGTTCAAAAGCTACATGATAATCACAAGAGGAACCCAGGTCATGATCAGGTGGTTTAAGTCAGTCAGGCTGCACATATCGAGGTGCTTCTCACACTTGTATGGTTCGCATATGACAAGACATTTTAGTTTAATTCATTCTGACTAGACAGAGAGAGAAACCCACAGATTTAAAGATAACTTCTCAACATGTAGTTGTTTTTAGACTGCTGCTTTTCTGGGCCAGCATGAGCCAGTTCAAATTTGCGGTGACTAGTTTATGTGCCTGCATGAGTTAAGAAGAAGTGCCGCTCGTTTCTCATGGTGCACGACGGATGCTGCCTGCAGATAAAAACAGAGCTGTCACATCTGAGCTTGGAGTGCACATCAAAAACCCATCCTCATCTTTGATCAGAAAATTCAGTGCCGTTTGAAACTACCAAGCTGCACAGACTAAAACGAAAAGAAAGCGTAAACAACAACGCTCATCAGACTCAGAGAAGAATAAGGCCCGTGGTTAGGTGTTGTGGGGTGAAGCACACGTTGACTACTAAAGGTCAAATGCAGCCCTATAGATGGTAAGTGACATCTTGACGGATGAATTACAGGTTTCTGTTTGAATTTAACAACACATATCTGCACTCTCACAGTTTAACACAATGCACGCTTCACTGTTTTTGATCTGAAAGACAGCAACCGTCACTCACCGCAAACCACAATCAGGTCACAATGGCAAACAGAAGTGATATGAAAAGAAGTGAATGGAGCTCAGAGGAGAAACAGATGGTTTGCACGCTCAGGTGGGTCACAGAAGGTCGGACACTTAACTTGAACCTAGAAGCAGATTACCTCTCTTGAAGGACCATCTCTTCATCCAGAGCTTAGAGAAGGAAGGCCAGGAGTGGTTAAGGGGAGAGTCAGCCATGGGAGCAGAGCAGAGGCCAGCTTGAACTGGAGCCTGCTCACACTGGTGCTGTGGTACCAGTAAGAGGAGGAGGGAGGGAACTGAGAGGAGGGAGGAGAGCCAGGAGGCTGGGGATTACCTCCAGTAGCAATGAAGAAAACAGTGAAGCTACAACTGTGACGAGAAACAATAGCAGGAGAAGGTTGCATACTACAAAAAAGTCTGAATAAGTCATTTTTCCTTTAAAAAAGTACATTTTTCTTGAATTGAGGAGGTAAGTGAGACATTTTGCCAATGGAACAAGACAATTTACATTTAGAATAAGAACAAACAATTGCATTCTCCTATTTCATGTGTATATTGTGTAATTATCTTATTTTAAGACTAAAAATACTCATTCCATTGGCTAATCATCTTATTTATCTACTCAATTAAAGGTAAATACATTTAATTTAAGAAATATTGACTTATTTCTAGAACATTTTTGCAGTGCAGAGATGGGAAAAGGAAAAATAAAAGAAAAACTTTAAAACCATAATCTGCTGCTTTTCTTTTAGAACCGTTTGCGCATTTATATGCTTTAAAAGTTCATTTGTTAATTCGGGACATTTGAATATTGATCATTTATAATCATAATAACCCAAACTGAAAGCTAACAGAAAAGAGATAAAAGGGGAAATATTATAAAGGTTAACCAGAGTGTAAAATTAGTTACATGGTTGGAATGTAGCAGTTCATATGTTTGTGCTGGTTTTGGGAAATAGAGCATTAACAAAAAAGGAGAAGGAAGTGGATGTAATGAAAGCACAGAGCGATGAAACTGTTTCTCGTTGACACACAGGGACATGCACAAGCACATAGCATATGTAATCTGAAATAACAATTAGAAATGTATTAAAGAGACTTATTGTACCAAAAGAAAAGACGAAGACTGACTGTTTGAATAGCTTGACAGCAATGATACTCTAACATTTGCACAACCGCAGCTACTTAAAAAAGGACCATGGTGCATATAGTGGACAGCAATCCTGGGTGTTTTCCAAATAAGCAGAGAGACATTTCCGTTACTTTTTTCATGTATTGATTAAAACGTTAGAGTTACATATTGAGCATCAGCAGAAATATGCTGATGCAGGATGTGTTCGTTGAGAACCTATAGACGGCTCTGCTAAACAAAAATCTACTCACATTGATGAAACCGTTGGCAGAACACAACTTCTTAGTAATCCTCGTCTTTAAATGGCAAACACCTATAGAAAATATAGCTTAAGTCCTTTGAGTTACTCTGTGAGAACACAAGTCTGGTCCTCAGACAGAGAGTAAAAAGACAACCAGCTGCTTCCTCTTTTACCCCCGCTCGTTCTCTGCAGCTCAGACGTACAGTATCACACATGAGTGTAGCTGAAAACAAGCACCGTTTGCTGACACACTACCAGCCCACAATACTGCTCCTCAGGTCTGAGCAACACTTCTGCAGAAAAACAAAAGGATGCTGTTGCCCCCCCTTGCTCTGACCTCTCTGACTTTAAAACTTTAAGACTTTAAAACAGCAAGAACTCCAATTGCTGCATTAGTGTTTAATCAGAAAAGCACCCAACCAGTCAAGTCTTAGATATGTGACTAATGGTGCTGCAGGGTGTAAAAACCTCTGCTTTGCTGTCACATTTTCTTTCTGCATGAAAACTTGCAAAATCCTTAGAAGCAGGTTTAAGTGGGAACAAAATAATTATTTGATTTATTAGATTAAAACCCACATGCATTGTTAAAAGCTATTGACTTTAAAAGGAGTCATCCCAAAACATTGTTTTGACAGAAAGCAGAACTATGAAAAAGTCCTAAACCACAATGGATTTCTTTCTGTTGCATTTCAACAAGCAGGATTTCCTATATATTGTAAAGCCTTCTAGATTAGCATTTCTTCAGAATTTCAAAGTTTTTATTTTGGTTTCCGTTTCTTTTTTTCTTATTTAATTTTTTGCCCAATTCTTGTACATGAAGGCAGGGTTTTAAAGAAAACAAAATATCTTTGGACAGAACAGAGGAGGAACAGAATCTAAAGGTCATAAAGTCAGGCGTTTTTTTAAACAGGAAAATATGTTTATCAAAGCCTTCAATGCTAATCGTTGATAAATAGTAAACAACTCTAGTGAAATAAACACTAATTTTGATTAACCTATGATAAAACCCCAATATCTTGAAATGCCTAAATGATTCAATTATAAAGGAGAGAAATGTGACTTAAGGAGCCAAAGAGAGAAAAGTCCACAGAATAGTTGAACACCAACTTAAAAGCATGAAGACATGAATAAGAAACCCCTGAAAATATCGTATTTTAGTCAACAGAGGGAAAAAAGTAAAAAAGAATATTAGGTAATAAAGGAGTTATCATCTTGTCACTAGTTTAACGTGAAAGCAAAACAAAAGAGGCTCCATCAATAATGTTTTCTTTCTTTATGAAATTCAAATATGTTAACAGGATGTCTTGATCAACTCTTCTTTCCAGCTGCTAAAAGGAAAAAAAAATGTATTTTCTGAGTGGATGGACCCCAAGGATAACAGTTTTATCCAATTTCTTATCTCCCCATTTATGTTCAGTTTATCCATAAACTTGTTAACCAGGTTTTAAACCTAAAAAAAGATAAAGGCTTTTACATAGATGAAATATGGTTGTTGTTTCTGATGCTTTGCCTGTTTTGTTTAGCGTTAGTGTAAACTGTGAAAAAGGTTGAACAAAATAGAAAAGGTTAAATTTATCACAGTATACTCGTGGGTCGGTTTATATTTGTAGTGATGTTGCCATCTCAATAAACTTTTCTGCACATCATTAGCTGACCATCTAGTGATGAAAGATTAGTCTGGCTTCCATTGGCAGGATTCAGCATGCCGAAGGGAGTTAAGGTTTTCCGCACCATGTTTTTTCTCCAACACTGTTTACATTTGATCACTGCTGCACTTTAGGAAATGGAAATGTAAGGAAAGCTGTACAAAAAAAATTTTTGTACGCACTCTGTGTTTACAAAATGACAATAAAAGTTGTCTATGTCTAAGTCTAAGTAGTCATCAGCGTAAACAGAGTGTTTGATTAGCAATTTGAGGTGAAGATTTTATAATGCAAGATACGATTAGCACTTGGATTAATGTAAAGTGGTGGATAAGTGCAGCATATATTGCATATCTAAGTTAGGACATGTATGCTAAGGAGTTCGAATGAAAAAATAAATCTAATTTGCACCAGCCTGATATATCTGGAGATCACACTTTGTGTACATCTATACTGAGCTTCTGAAAGACATTTATATTCATTCTTTTTTTTTTTAAAGGTATAGTGGAGCATGTTATTTTTCCAGGTGGATCATCAAAATAAGTGGTCCTCCTAATTGTCAATCATTCTGGTGATATGTTTATGTAAGGCCATCCTACGTGCTCGTCCTCTTTTTCTCTTACCGGTGGTGAGTCTGACAAAGTGGAAAAATTGCAAATCTTCTTTTGGAAAGTAAGCTTGTATGAGCGTTGTAAACAGCTACTTTTAAACAGAGCGAGCACGAGGAGAAATGGGCTCGTGTACAGGCTAGTGCATGTACAACTTTTTTTTTTTTAAGTGGAGAGGGTGGGTCATTTCAAAAATTCCAAAAAAAATTCTCCAATATACCTTTAAGTTGCTAACATAGACAGCAACAGAGGTATAATGGTTATAAAGAAAAGACCCTTCTTACACTAATCAAGCTCAACTAAAATCTTTCATCATGTTCCCAGTTGGTTAAAAAACAGCATTGCTTAGTGCAGAACAGGGTGTAAAACTCCTGCTACTTGTGTATGCGCTGCTGCTTCAACACAACCTGACTGCTGCTAGTCAGGTACAGTAGTTAGGCCATTTGAGTCAGGTGAGTAGGTAAGGCACATATTTAAAAGTAGAAGGAGACAGATTCTTAAGGATTTGGATTTGAGACCACTGGTGCAGGAGGAAGTAATCCAGTGGAATCAGCACATAAGCTGTAAACTTGTTTTAATTTTTTCTGTGACATATGTTTACGTTGTAGGTGTATTGAATGATGTTCTTTTTATGGGTGGATCATCAAAATAAGCGGTCCTCCTAAATGTCAATCATTCTGGTGATATGTTTAAGTAAGGCCGTCCTACGTGCTCATCCCCATTTTCACTTACAGGTGGTGAGTCTGAGATGGTAGAGACATTGCAAAATCTTCTTTTGGAAGGTAAGCTTGTATGAGTGATGCAAATAGCAACTTTTAAACAGAACGTGCACCAGGAGAAATGGGCTTGTGCATACTCTTGCAAGCGTTTAATAGGCATTCCCTCTTGGGAGCGGGTACAGCATTGTGCATGTGCTTTATTTTTTTATTTTTTTAAGTGGAGAGCCCGGGTGTATTAAAAAAATAGCGAAAATCATCCACTATACCTTTAATTTTTCTTACCTGTGCTGCCTATTTCAATGATATACCTGAAATAGGCAGCACAGGTACAGCACAGGTACAGCACAGTACCTGTGCTGTACCTATGACTTCAGTTAGACTTAACTGAAGTCATAATCTTCAGTTAAGTCTAACTGAAGATTATGACTTCTAATCTTCAGTTAGACTTAAGGAGATTTAAATATTTTGTTTGATCTCTTCAAAGTGAAGCAAACATTTATTGTATAAACTGTTGCAAAAATATTGGTCATTTGTGAAGGTTTCACACCTTGGACAGGACCAGAGAAAACAGATGACAGACCATCAGCCATCAGGGGTCAGGTGCAGGGATTTGTGAGCAAACTAGGACCATGATGGAAGCAGAACATCAGACAAGATTAAAAACATCAGTCATACACACATGAGAAAAACAAAAAAACATGATAAAAACAAACATATTCACCTTTGGGATGTTTGTGTAGAAGGAAACAGGCGGATTCATTATTATATTTCCACTGCAACATTAAAACACACAATTGCCCAGAATAATCTAAATCCCATATTGTTGAATCAGATCCTCAGATTATTGTAAATTCTTAGGAAAACCTCAACTTTCCTTTATTAAACCTTGGAT